CCCCAAAACCCCAAAACCCCAAAACCCCAAAACCCCAAAACCCCGCATATGGATATTTAAGTTGAATGTTGGAAAATATTTTTGAGATTTAATTTGAATTATGTGAATTAATATACATAATATGCTTACATTAAGATCATTATCATGAAAGTCTAAGCCTCTTGGCGATTGCCTGAGTGGAAATAGAATTTTAAATTGTTGTTGTAGACAACTGAGTTGCACAGAAAGAGTCTGCAGCTGAAGCTTAACCTTTATTAAGAAGTTCTTGCTTGCTGAGAGGGTAACACTGATGTGAATGAGGACAAGTGCTCTCATGTTCATTTTAGTGCAGTGAATTGCAGTAATATTTAGAACTAAGCATTCTTGGCTGCTTTTCTATCCTAAAAACCAATTTTTGCTTATCTTTCTCTGAACTTTCTCTCTTCTAGTTACTTGAATCTTGATGCTCTTACTAGGAAGATTTCTCAGGGATATCTTTTTGCTTCCTGTGAAGCTTATTGTCTCTCTTTTTGGGTTTTTTAGTACATTAAATAGCACCTTCTTTTCTGCCTGCTCGCTTTGAGCTTCTAACAGGATCCTTCATGACTTAAGTTCCCAAGACATGATCTAGCTCAGGATTTAAGTCATTTACAGAGACCATGGCGAGATGAATCTGTTCTAAGTTCTTCTTATCTTGAAATCTTCTGTCAAAGTGAGGTTACTTCTCTTCCTCGTGCTGAATGCTTGCATCTACCATTGCACTGAACTAATTCTGTTTGCTAGCGAGCACATGGCTCTTCATACTGTCGCATACGTGGGCAGATGAATGACAACCTCTTAGAATTGGTAGAAGTGAAATTGCTAAGTTTTCATTGTGAAGATCAGAGTGGTTTTGGAAAGCTTGATCGATTCTATCATTTAAACTCAAAGATTCTCTGTCTGGGCAATAACTCTCATCGTTATCTTCAGTTTAACTCTCCATACTGTCCTCGCAGTCACATTGTTGAAGTTGAGACTAGCATTGAAAATTAATCTCTTCGAAAGCTCCTGAGGGTAGGTCGTTGAAGTCTGATATGTCAGCGAAGTCTAGATAGCGCTGCAACTCGTCCGCTGCGTCCTTAGTATCTTTCTCCTTCTACTCTTTAATTGCTTTATCTTCAATGATCTTCAATTCCTACTCTGTGAATCCAAAGTTTTGAGCAAGATGAGATTTAGAATACCAAGTATCTACGACGGGATTGGGGCAACACTCACAAAAGAATTTAATCATAAATCTGACTTCATATCTCTGATTTTAAGACAGTTAAAGCTAGATATTAATGATTTCAGGTTTATGTTGAAGCTGGCTTTGAACTTGAGGATTTTCCATTAATAAGTGCAAAATTTAATTTTTTAATTATTGACTTTAGCTTCATAGAAATAGAAGAGAATTAATTTCAACTTGTTCTTACTAAATTATTTAACTTTAAGAACCATCAATACAACACCTTAAATTTACGCATTAAAACTAGGGAATCATAGAAAACAAAAAACTAAAAATTGTCTTTGAGACTTAAATTGAAGATATGGATAGAAACTAGGCTGGGATTTAAGAGGTTGATTGAAGAGAATTTGTGATTTATTAATAAGATAACGACTTAAATATTAATAATCTTATTAATAAAGCAATAGTATTTATATTTCTATATATCAAGTCCTAATAAATTATCATGATGATCAATTAAACTCATATTTAGAATCTAACTCCAGAAGATCTATTTTAGAGTCAGATAGAATACTCTGAGGCAAATTTGCCCATTTATGAATAGTTCTGATTCAAGTTGATGCTTGTATCTCTTAGGAATGGATGCATCATTGCAGCAGAAGCTGATAGTCTACTCTTAGGCACCCATTTAAGCATTTTAAAGATAAGGTCAGCAGCATCTCTTATTTCTTTCTCTAAGTAATGGCTCTTTCTAAGTAGGCATTCCATATCGATTCTTTCTAAGTCTCTAACTGAGTTTAAGATTTTGACTGTGTCATGAGGAATAATTTTATCAAGTTAATCCAATTCATCATCACTTGGAGAGCCAATAATTGCACCTTGCTCAAGAAGTTGCAGTCCTTCTGAATCTCCCGGAAAAAGGGGAGTCTTTGTTATCAGTTCAAATAAAATGCATCCAACAGCTAAATGATTAAATATTTAAATCTTACCCCAGATATCGATGGATGTGTCATACTTTGTGGTGGCAAGGATAAGTTCAGGTGCTCTGTAGTATCTACTTACAACATAAGGGGTATTTTTGAATGTGACATCGTCCAGGAACTTTGAGGAGCCAAAATCACAAATCTTCACCTGTCCATTTTTTAGAAGAATGTTCTCTGGCTTCAAGTCTCTGTGCACAATCTTCATTTAATGCATCTCATCCAGTCCATTCAAAATCTCTTTCACATATCTCTTTAATTCATCAATAGGCAAATAGGTATTTGCATCGGTATGCTTCACTATTACATTCTCGAGGTTGCCATCACAAAATTCAAACACTGAATTTTAAATCACTCGTTGTTTCTAGTCCACTGTATAGAAAAAATTCAGCAGCTGTAGAACATTGTCCTTTTCTCTAAGGGCATCAAGTACCTCGTACTCTCTGGAGACCTTGTTGCCTATCTTCTGAGATCTCTTGATTGCAACCTTTTCCTTGCTATTTTCGTCAAATGCTGAAAATACATAGCCTAACATTTAGATCATAATTTAAGTGAGTTTTACCAAAAGCTCCATTTCCGATGACTGAGAAATTGGAGTAGAAGGGCTTCTGAGGTCTTTGATGTTTAGAGTTAGAATCAAAGCCTAAAATTATAAAATTATTAGAAATTTGTAAAAACGAATTCCTACTTGTACTTCTAGTAAGCTCGGACATCATTTTAGCGTTGATATTTTAAATTTAAATTTAAACTTCATCCAAAATAAATTTACTACTAAAATCTAGCCCTATGGGGTTTTGGGGTTTTGGGGTTTTGGGG